CCTAAAGTTAGCACATAAAAAAGTGAAATTAATTTAAAAACATGAAAATCTCTTACCTATATAGTAAAACATAAGGAATTATGAATGTGACTGATTTAGGTAGGAAAATTGTTTTGTAGAGACGCCTAATCCAAGACTTTCCAGTGAAGTTTATCAAAGAGGAAATTATTAGTCCTCTCTAATAAGGACTTCATGCCCCAGATAGACCACTCATGAAGACCACCCGCCCCGCGGTTGTTGGGAGAGGCCATGTGACTAGTTCTGGCCCTTGTCTCTGGGTGGAGGAGATGTGCGTCATGTCCAGTCTGGAGAAGAGTGTGAGTGCTCCATATTCTCTCTTCCCAGTCACGTCAAACTCGGAAGCCACCTGTTGCCATGGTAGCTCCACAAGAAAGATGAGCTGCCATCAGCCTGCACCTCTGAGAGACTTTGTGGAGAAGGGGGACTTCCCCTTTTCATGTGAGCGGCAGTGAGCATACAGTGTGAACAAGAAATAAAAGCTCCTTATGTGAAGCCACTGAGGTTTCAGGGTTCATTTGCTACCACAGCATAACCTGGCCTATCCCCTGCTAAGAGCTCCCTGTGCCTCATGTATCATTTGCAAAAGTCTTTGCTAAATTTCCTTAAGTAATGTTTAAACTTTTCTTGTATAAACTGACATACCCAAGGTCATTAGAGCCTTTTTGAACACTTTATTTGGAAAGTGATTTTATTAGGAAAGACATTTATATTTCCATGGAGTATAACAAAACTAAGGAAAAATGAAGTGTCTGACAACCAGAATACTTTTGCTCCCTGACTGAGATAATCTTCCTTCTCTGCTCACTGTCCATAAACAATAAATGCAGATTTTCTGAGAAATTACCCCCCTAATTTGTGGAAATAACCTCAAAAGACTTTGAGATTTTCAGTTAATAACCTCTCAGTTTTGGAATTCGAGTCTGTCCCTTAGAAAGCTATATTTTTTTAACCAAAATTTAAGAAAACACAAATATTATTTAACCAGAAAAAATAACACCACAAATGTTAAACTGTTCTCTTGATATTTGAAAAGCTTGCAGATTCTGTTTCAAACCTAAATATAATTTTTTTTTCAGTATTTTTTCTCTTTGTAACCCAGTTGTTCCCATTCCTGTTCACACTGGTGTATTTTGTGAAAAAAAAAAAAAATTACGAGCCTTCAGAAAAAACATATGTGGTCATCTTTTCCTTAACTGCTAGCACACAGGATTTTAACATAGAGTTTATTTTAAACTAAGCCGAGAAATCCTTGGAGTCCAAGTTGTTTTTCCATTAGAGGTATGAAACTTGGCCCCACATGTTTCTGTTCTGGAAAAAGTCCATTGACGCTCTGAATCACCTGGTAACATAAATTAACATGAGGTAGGTCTTAAAACATAACCCTCATAGGCACAACAGGAAAAAATGAATTGGAAAAACATAACCTTGTGTTCTAATTTTATTCACTTAAAACTTCACAATATTCATTGCCCAGTAGGAATATGTCAAAATGATTAGACAAGCATTCTGTACTTAAAAACTCTGTGAAGTGTTGGTGGGAATGTAAAATGGTACAACTGTTGTGGAAAAAATTTAAAATAGAATTAACATATGACCCATCAATTCCATGTCTAGGTATTTACCCACAAGTACTGAAAACAGGGTCTCAATGAGGCATTTATATGTCTATGTTCACAGCAACATTATTCATGAGAGCCAAAATGCGGAAGCAACACAGGTGTCTAGCAACAGATAAATGGTTAAGCAAAATGTGGTATATACACATACAATCGAATATTATTCAACCTTTTAAAAGAAGGAAATTCTGACCTGTGCTACAGCATGAATGCACCTTGAGGGCATTATGCTAAGTGAAATAAGCCAGTCACAAAAAGAAAAATACTATAAATTCCACTTATAGGAAGTACTTACTAGTACTTCAAATTATAAAGACAAAAGATATAGTGGTGGTTACCAGGGGCTGAGGGGGGGGAGAATAGAGAGAGATTGTTTAATGGGTGTAAAGTTTTAGCTCTACAAAATGAAAAGAGTTATGGGGATGGCTGCACAGTAACGTGAATGTATTTAATGTCACTGATTTAATGTCACTGAACGTGAATGTACTTAATATTTAATAAAAATGACTTACATGGTAAATTTTATGATATGGGTATTTTACCACAATTTTTAAAAGTGAAGAAAAATTCTGTGAAGAACTCAAAATAATCATGGGACCAGAAATGTAGGCACCTGTAAATAAGAACTAAATACGGACTGGCTGCTCTCATTACACACACTTAGGCCAAGAATCACACCTTTAATGTATCAGAGTGACTCTAAAAGCAAACAAAGCTCCTTACTAATAGCTTAATGATGACAATGGTAAAGATGAAAATTATTAATATACTTCTGCATTAAGTTGAAAGGTGTTTTATTATCCTAATAGCTGGTTTAAGACTTTCTCTTAGATAAACATCTAACTTTGTTAGAAAAATACTATAATAAGCCCCTTTGTTGTGAAATCTGAGATCCAGAAATGTTTGAATATATGTGTGTGAGGCCATTAGAGGAAGGTGAAAAATCAACCCCAGAAAATGGAAGGATAGAAGTGTCACCTACAATGTTGGGGTAAGTAGAAAGCTGTGAAGACTCTGAGCTTTGTCTCCATGTTGGTTTCAAGGAGAACCAAGACAGCACCAAAATACTTGAAGAGATCAGTTCGATTACTCATAGAAATCATTGCCAGATGCACTCTACTCTTAAAGGTCATAAATTTGGGTGAGAAATGTCTGAGAATCTCTAAGAGTCACAGATGCTCTTGCTGATAACAATGTCATTCATCTATCTCTCATAACTAACATTGATTGAGTGCCCAACTGTACACTAAGTATTGTTCTAAGAGCTGTGGTCATCCTAACTCATTAAATCCTTGCATCAGCTTTATGAGGTACTAGTACTAACTCTACTCACCAAGTGAGGAAAGTGAGCCACATAAATGTTAGATGACATGACCAAGGTCACATAGCTAGTAAGTGTCAGAGACAAGATCAAACCCAGACCATCTGAGTTCAGAGACTGTCATTTTCACCACTATGCTGTCTCTGATTTTGTTCAGTGCAAGAATTTCTATAATGCTTAACAAAACTCAGATTTTCTAATTTGGTCATTAGCTGTGTCATCTTCCATAAAAATTGTCAAGTTTTATATTACAAGAGACCATAGAGTTCATCTTACCTAGTCTTTCCACTAATGCAGGGTTCCCTCATAACATACATTTTTCTTTAAAAAATAAAAATTAAAAAAAAAAAAAAACTTTTTCTGACAACAAGCCAGGCTCTTTCTAGATACCTTTGATAACAAGTAGGCCCCTAATCTGAGGATCAGAAGTGTTTTACTAGAAAAAGTACTTGACAACTTTTAGAGATGGCAAAATCCACCATTTTTTGTTAATATCTTTTGGTAACCAGTTTGCAAACCATCAACAAAAAGTGTAAATATGAAAAGTTATCAATTAAAATTCCTCAATGAAACATCAAATGTTATGGTGAATAAAGGGTTCTTTACCATAGAAGACAATGAGAGTATTATTGACTGAGTCACACAATCTGTCTCAGGAATAAATGCATATCTTAAGTACACCCATGTTGAAACAATAGGACTTCACGTGTTTGAAGACATCTAAACAGCAAATGTATGGACTAAAACTATTTTTTTTTTTTTGTCAGAGTTTGAACAACAACAACATTGGTTTTAACAACTCTGAAAGGAAAAAGAGAGGGCAATGCTCACCAGAAAGAATGGTGGTAGCTAATGGGTCATAGGTAGCAATGTTTCAAAGACATTGCAATACAACTGGGAGTGGTAGAAAGTGCATATCAGAGGCAATAATGATTGTTATTATTATGGTTTGGCTCATAGAAAAATAATAGCACTTAATATACTAATATTTTCTGAAAAATTACCAGATTTTCAGTTATATCCAGAGTCACACACTCAAAAAATGTGTCCTTGATAGATAGCTGTGAAAAGAATGCTTCCCTTAGGGCACCTGGGAGGCTCAGTCAGTTAAGTGCCCAATTTTTTATTTTACCTCAGGTCAGGATTTAGGCTCTTGAGATCAAGCCCTACATCGGACTATGTACTGGGCATGGAACCTACTTAAGATTCTCTCTCTCCCTCTCCCTTTGTCCCTCTACTTCTGCTCAGGCTCTCTCTTTCTCTCTCTCTCTCTTGCTCTCTCTGTCTCTCTAAAAAAATAAAATAAAATAAAAAATGCTTCCCTTGCATTCCCTAACAAGTTTAGAATTGTATTTTATCTTAAAAAAGAGTTAAACCAAACAAGAGATAGATATCCCAGTCAGGAACTAAGACATATAATGATTCTTTTAAAGTTATTTTATAAGTATAAAATCAAAGGAATAATGAGAAGAATTACACACATATTCAAAGAACTCCAGTCTTGCCTAGATCATTAGTGATGAACTTTAAAGGCAAGAACATCTTAAGATTGTTTTACTTTTATATTATAATAATTAAATATAAATATTTTATTTGAATAAGTAGTAAATTTAGATCAGTAAATGTCTCATTTCTAGAGTACTCAATCTGCATCTGGGCATCGAAACACATACTTGCTTACAAATAAATCCTTCACATAATTATACTTCTATGGTACTTTGATAGTTATGGTATATACCTGACCCCCAAGGGGGTCAAGAAGGATCATTCTATATATAAATTGTTTTACTAAACAACCCTCCCACTGAAAAGTAATTACCACCAAGAATCCATTTTCAAGGGATATACAGAGGAATAAACATAGTTTGTTATTTATTAATACTATTAGCTTCCCTCTGCATTAACCCTAGCCTATGGATAAATATACCTAGTCTACTACAGTTTGTTTCACAGATTAGAATAACAAAGTGGAGTACAGGTCCTTCAGGACATAAATATCACTAAAAGAAAGAATTAGTTTTAAAGAATTTTCAATTACATACCAAAAAGCTATGAGTGTCCTCGTTCCAGTTCTGCTGCCTCTGATCTGTACAAGAAAAAGACAAGAAAGGGGTCATAAGGTTTCTGCCTGGACCCAACTATCTAGAAGGAAGTCAGAATCTTACCACTTCACCCCCCAAGAAGAGGCAACAAAATAGTAACTTGCTCATCATAAAAACTACCCAATGAGTCTCTTGGAAAATGAGAAAGTTCTATCTCACAGGAAAGAAGACCTAGGTATAAGCTAGCAGGAAATCATTAAGCTGAGATCCCCTGGAATTGAATGTTTTCTAAAAGATAGTGTGAAAATAATGTTCAAATCTCTTTGAACACTGCTCAAGATATATTTTTACTTTACTTTTAAATATCTTGAAAGTTGTTCACATGGATTTAGAATTTCCATCTGTTTTCCTGGAATTCTGTCAATGGGAAAATGTTTCATATTAGTAATATCCCACTCATTGCCTAAGCCATAAGTTTAAAAAATACAGATTTTTAAGACTTCATCTTTTTAAAAGACTTAATTTATTTATTTGATAGACAGAGATCACAAGTAGGCAGAGAGGCAGGCAGAGAGAGAGAGAGGAGGAAGCAGGCTCCCCGCTGAGCAGAGAGCCCGATGCAGGGCTCGATCCCAGGACCCTGGGATCATGACCTGAGCCGAAGGCAGAGCCTTTAACCCACTGAGCCACCCAAGTGCCCCAGGACTTCATTTTTTAAGAGCAGTTTTAGGTTTATAGAAAACTGAGAGGAAGGTACAGAGATTCTTCTATACCCCCTGCCCCTACATGTGCATAGCCTCCCCCATTATCAACATCACTCACCAGAATGGTATATTTTTTACCAAGAATGAATTTACACTGAAACATCATAACTAGATAAAGTCCATAACATACCTTACAGTTCACTGTTGGTGTCATAAATCGTATGTTTATAGAAAAAAATATGTGCAGTGACATATATCTATCATTATATCATGTGATATAATATCATAGTATATTGATTGCTTTAAACATCCTCAGTGCTCTGCATATTCATTTCTCCCACCCCAAGCAACCACTGAACTTTTTATTATCGCCATAGTTTTGCCTTTTCCAAAATGTCATATAGCTGATATCATACAGTATGTAGACTTCTCAGATGGGTTTCTTTTGCTTAGTAATATGCATTAAAATTTCCTTTATGTCTTGTCATAGCTTGATAACATATTTCTTTTTAACACTAAATATTCCATTGTCTGGATGTGTCAATGTCTTTATCCATTCATCTACTGAAGGACATCTGGTTGCTTTCAAGTTTTACCAATGATGAATAATCTGCTGTAAACATCCATGTGCAGATTTTTGTATGGATGTAAGTTTTCAACTACTTTGGGTAAATACCAAGAAGCATGACTCCTGAGCTAGCTATATGGTAAAACTAAGTTTAGTTTTGTTTTGGGGGTTTTTTTTTGTTTTTTTTTTTTTTAAGATTTTATTTATTTATTTGACAGACAGAGATCACATTAAGCAGAGAGGCAGGCAGACAGAGAGAGGAGGAAGCAGGCTCCCTGCAGAGCAGAGAGCCCGATGTGGGGCTCGATCCCAGGACCCTGGGATCATGACCTGAGCCGAAGGCAGAGGCTTTAACCACTGAGCCACCCAGGTGCCCCTAAGTTTTGTTTTTTAAGAAACTACTGTTTTCTTCCAAAATGGTTATTCCATTTTGCATTTCCCATTAGCAATGTATGAGAGTTCCTGTTTCTCTACATCCTCACTGGCATTTGGTGTTGTCAGTGTTTCAGATTTCGGTCATTCTAATAGGTCTTTAAGTGGTTATCACAATTCTGTTTTAATTTAATTTCCTTGATGACATATGGAGCATTTTTCCATGCTTATTTCATATGCTTATTTGCCACCTGTAAATCTTTGATGAAGTGTCTCTCAAGGTATTTAGTCCATTTTTAATAATGTTGTTTATCTTCTTATTGTTGAATTTTAGGAGTTCACTGTATATTTTGGATAACAGTCCTTTATCACATGTGTCTTTTGCAAGTACTTTCTCCCAGTCTGTAACTTGTTTTCTAATTGCTTTATATTGCCTTTTGTAGAGAAGTTTTTAATTTTAATGAAATCAACATATTAATGTTTTCTTTCACGGATCACGATTTCTGATGCTATGTCTAAAACAGTTCATCTAGACTTTCTCCTACAATATTTTCTAGTTCTGTGTTTTATACATAGGTCTATGATACCTTTTTAAACATAATTTTCTCCATCACTTCCTTAAGTAGAGATCATTTTTGTGAGGAGTGTATGGTCTGTGTCTAGTTTCACTTTTTGGCCTGTAGATGTCCAGTTATTCCAACACCATTTGTTGAAGATACTATCTTTGCTCCATTGTATTGCCTTTGCTCCCTTGTCAAAGATCAATTGACAACATTTATGAGGGTCTATTTCTGGGATCTCTCTTCTGCTCCATTGACCTACTTGTTTATCTTTTTACCAATATGATACTGTCTTGATTACTGAAACTATAAAGTGAGTCTTGAAATTGGGTAGTGTCTGTCCTCCAACTTTGTTTTTCTCCCTCAATATTGTTTGGCTATTCTGGGTCTTTTCCCTCTCCATATAAATTTTAAAATCTATTTTTCAATGTCCAAAAAATAAATTGCTGATATATTAATTGGGATTGAACTGAATCTATGGGTCAATTTTGGAAGAATTGACATCTTGACAATATTGAGTCTTCCTATCGATGAACATGGAATATCCCTCTAGTTTTTTAGTTCTTCTTTGATTTTATTCATCAGAATTTTGTAGTTTTCCTCACATAGCTCTTGTATATATTTTTGTTATATTTATACCTAAGTATTTGACTTCTGGGAGACTAAGGTAAATGATAATTGGTGTTTTTTATTTCAAATTCCCCTTGCTCATTGTTGGATATAAGAAAGCAATTGACTTTTGTATATTAACCTTGTGTCCTACAACCTTGCTATAATCAGTTATTAGTTCCAGGAGGTTTTTGTTGTTTTGAGGGGGTTTTTTTGGTCAGTATTACAGACTTTCTACGTAAATGATCAAGGCACTTGAGAACAAAGAAAGTTTTATGTCTTCCTCCCAATCTTTATCTTTTAATTTATTTTCTTGCTTTACTGCATTAGCTAGAACTTCTAGCATGATGTTGAAAAGGAGTAATGAGAAGAAACTTCCTTGTCTTGTACCTGATCTTAACACCATTAAGTATGGTGTTAGCTGCAGGCTTTTTGTAGATAGTCTTTATTAATAGCCTGTCAATATAACTATAAATAGATAGTTCCCTTTTCTTCCTAGTTTACCAAGAGTTCTTAACATGAATTGATGTTAGATTTTTGTCAAATGTTTTTTCTGTATGTATTAATATGATCATGTGATTATTCTTTTTATATCTGTTGATGTGATGAATTGCATTAGCCTTGCATAACTAAGATAAATCTCATTTGGTTATGGCACATAATTCTTTTTATACTTTTCTGGATTAGATTTACTAATTTTTATAGAGTACTTTTGCACCTATGTTCATGAGAGATATTGGTCTGTAGTTTTCTTATGTCTTTGTCTGGTATTGGCCTAAGGCTAATGCTGACCTCAGATTCAGTTAAGACATATTAGCTCTGCTTCTTTCCTCTGTAAAGTTTGTAGAGAATTGGTGTAATTTCTTCCTCAAATATTTGGTAGACTTTGCCAGTGAACCCATCTGGAACAGGTGTTTTCTCTTTTGAAAGTTTATTTATTATTGATTCAATTTCTTTAATAGATATATATCTATTCAGATTATCTATTTCTTCTCATGTGAGTTGTGGCAGATTGTGTCTTTCAAGGAATTGGTCCATTTCACCTAGATTGTCAAATTTGTGGGCACAGAACTATTCACAGTATTTTTTTATTATTCTTTTAATTTCCATGGAAGCAGTAGTGATGTCACCTCTTTCATTTCTGATATTAGTAACTTGTATTTTCTCTTTTTTTCTCAGTTAACCTGGCTAGACATTTACTGATTTTATTGGTCTTTTTAAAGAACCAGCTTTTGGTTTCATTGATTTTCTCTATTGATTGCCTATTTTCCATTTCATTGATTTTTGCTCTAATTCTTATTTCTTTTCTTCTTCTTACTTTGGATTTAATTTGTTCTTCTTTTTCTAAGTTCCCAAGATGGAAACTTAGATTATTGGTTTTAGATTTTTCTTCTTTTCTAATATATGCATTCAATTCTATAAGTTTCCTTCAATCACTATTTTTGCTGCAAATTTCTTCTTTTTTTAAGCCTATATATTTATATCTCACAGTAAAATGAGATGGCAGAAAAACATGATTTATTAATGACAGATACATTTTAAGAAGATCTGTTTTTTAATGACTCATCTGTTTTGAATATTTGGGGTTTTTTTAACTTTTAAAATTTTCCTCCAAATTTTCATTTTGAAAGTTTTTATAACTATAGGAAAGTGCTGTGGGAATATTTAAAAATGAACACCTGGATAGCCTTCGCTAGATTCCTAAATTATTACCATCTTGCCACATTTGCTTTATCTGTCTATACATATAAATATTTTACAAAACCACTTGAGAATTAGTTTTAAAGATGTTTCACCCCTAAAAACTTTAGTATGGTCATCATCTCACACCTGTCAGAATGGCTGAAATCAGCAACACAAGAAATAACAGGTGTTGGAAAGGATATGGAGAAAGAGGAACCCTCTTGCAATGTTGGTGGGAATGAAAACTGGTGCCACCATTCTGGCAAAAAGTATGGAATTTCCTCAAAAAGTTAAAAATAGAATTACCCCAAGATCCAGCAATCACACCACTAAGTATTTATCTAAAGAATATAAAAGCAGTTATTCAAAGGGATACATATACTCCAATGGTTAAAGCGGCATTATCTACCATAGCCAAATTATGGAAATAGCCCAAGTGCCCATAGACTGATGAATGGATAACGAAGAGATATTACTCAGCCATAAAAAGTAATGAAACCTTACCATTTGTGAAGATGGATGTAGCCAGAGTATAATGCTAAGCAAAA